GATTTCATTGACAGTATCATACAATACAGCTTTGCCATCTAGTTTGGGTGATAGTAGGTTATCTGTCATTTAACATTTGAACTATGTCAGGAAACTGACACGCATTCATAGTTCCACTATGTTACTTCTTTCAAGACAAGTCCTTAGGTGATTTGCCTTCTCCTGCATGTATTTGCAATATATAATTATTTTAAACAAGAAAGAAGACTACGCCTCTGTACATCTTCTTTTGACAGTAGTCATCTTGGGTTTCAGTAAAAATTACTCAGATTGAAAGGGATGTGTTATTGTAACTCAATCCTGTTTATATGCCCCAAAATATCAGGTGCTGTGGGTGGCGGGGGAACCTCCACCTACATGCTGATTTGTTCTGTTACTACATGTTCTTTGAGATTATCAACAGCCTGAAAAAAATGACTGCCATATGTCTATACTCAGCCATTCTCCATTTGGTTGAATGGACAATTCCTATTTTACGGAGCTCAGAATTTTACTCTCATGAATCATGCTGAATGGAGAGACTTAGTACCCAAGTAAATCCAATGATCTGAAGCCAAGCAGGACAATTATAATCATCTATTTGACCTTCTGCAACACATAAAATTCTATTTAGTCAAAGCTCAGTCAATTTGTGGGTAAATCAGGCTATTTATTTAGGAAGCTATCTGCCCTTTTAGTCAGTTACAGAGAGCCTGAAAGTCAGGGGCAGAGCATCCAACATGTTTCTAAAGAAAATCGAATCAAGCATCAGACACAGCTATGCAGTCTCAGCCATATACTTTTGGGAATGCTGAGAGAAATCACAGTTTTTGCAGTAGTGTATCAGGAATATATCCTTAGATACTGTGCAACATTGCTGGAGAATTTCAGGTTCTCTCTGTATCCTCTTATTTTCTCTCTCCTGCAGTCACATCAAAACATAACATTTTCTATAAAGTAAAGGAAATGATGAGTACAAGGAAGGTTTGGCATGTCAACTAGTATGGCATGTCAACTTATGGCATGTCAACTTACAGCAGTCGGATCAGCTGCCTGCAGGAATACTTCTGGTCCCTTCACTAATTTGTTGGGGAGCAGTATCTCTATAGTCACTGTGAATACCTTTTCTAGTCTGACATATTACATCAAAGCACAAATACAAATGTGGCTTTGTTATCTACAGCTACAGGATACATCACATTAACTCTATTTCTTACTGGATAAGAAAAGATAAAGCCCAATAAGATTTGACGAGATCTTAAAAGCTGCCATGGTGGGAAGTCCAGGTTTCTAGCACTTTCTCAGGTTTTTGTGCCATACTTTGATGACATGAGATGGGAATCTCCTCTTCCATTGTTTTTTCCTCTCTTTTCTTGTACCCCATCCATCACTACATGCTATGCAGAATAAGTTTCTTCTGTCAAATCAGGATATTATCACAATCTGCCACAAACAGCTGTTGTCATTTTGCAATCCCTGCTGCTCACTATGGTGCTCAGAACCACCTCACTCCAGTCAATATTATCACTAGTCCAGTTTCGAGGCAAGTAATATTATTTGTTACTATGTCAACTTCTCTTCATCTCTGTACTCATGAATTTCATTAGACTTCAATACTACTGGAAAGACAATGTCTGCCCTTGAACCTGTTTTTGTAACTCATAATATGCTGCAAAGCCTTTCAGAAACCTCTACCTTCAATAACAGATCATAGGCTGCACCTTGATATGGGCCACGGTCTATGAGAACAGTGAGTGCAAAGCTTATTTTCAATCTTCTCTCTTTTCACCATACAAGAGTGAGCCATCCAGAAGATACAAAGCAGCTACACCAATCCCACCAGCTGCTCACAGCTGCTGAGGGGAGACAGGGGCAGGGGAAGAGAGAGGCAATTCCACTGGGGGATGCCAATGTGCACAGAACAGGGCTCCATGGAACAGGGGGCAATGGTACCTGGAGGACAGGGAACTTGTTAGAGGAGGACTGTGGGTACAAGAAGCTGGTCAGGCAGTGATACAAATAAGCAAGGAAAAACCAGGTACAGGATTTTGGAGGGGAAATGTTGGACGTTCCACATGTGGCTTGACTGAAGTGGAAGTAATTTTTGAGAGGAAGACGGACAGGAAGCATTTGGGCAGAGAGGTGGAAGACAGAGAACGAAGGTTTGGTGCAGGCCCAGGCATCTGTCCGTCTAAACTATGCCAGCAAGGAAACTTGGGAACTGCTAGTTTAGAGAAATGATGAGAGAGCAAGAGTGACCTCTAATCTTGGTTTAAATATTGATTCCATGTACTGCCTTGGGCAAGGATTTGGTTAGATGGGATTAATTATGTCTATCTATCTATTTCAAAGGGCTGCTGCAAGGATTAATTAGTCATTGTTTGTAGGTTTCTTTGAAGATGAAAATGTAGCCATATAATTAAATTAAATCATTAGCCATAAGGTTATATGATTTTGACGTTTTCAAAAAATGCATAAATTAATACCCTAACATCTACTTCCATTTTATTCTTAGGCATATTTGTAATCCCGGATAAAGAATTAACAGTGCCTGTAAGGCATTACTACACAGTGGTTACATGAATGAAATCCATTTTAGAAATAAGGATATATTAAAATTATAAAGATTAAAGCCATAAAACTTAGGTTTATATATCAAGCTTCCTGTTGATATTCAAAGACTTAGTGAATCTGAGATAAAACAGCAGTGTTTAAAACACTGCTGCTTTAAAATACTGTTTCATCTGTGGAAACCAAATTTCTGGTTGCTTTCCAACAGTTGGGAATTGTAGCTGATGTTCCTCATAACAGCAGTGAAACTCCACTGGAGAGAAAGGAAATACTAATGTACATGTGATAAGGATTACAGTCTAGTCCTGGTGTTGTGCTTGCTGGGGTGACATGATAGCCAACATGCACACATTTCACTATCTTCTCCAGGACAAGCTTGGGCCAGAACACAGGGGAAGGGTGATGGATCTTACCCATCTCCCATTTTAAATGAACTGAAAGATGGTGATACTCTGTTTGGCACACATCTTCAGAAAGCATAAACTATCAAAGACTTACTAAATCAAAAGACACTACAAAATTTTATGTTATTATCTCAGGCCAGATGGGTTAATATCTCCAACAGAATCATGTCTTTGACATTCAGTGGTTTTTTTTCTGCACACCTGCTCACACAAGAGTAACAGAGGTTCTTGTATGGTTTTTCACTATGGTATCACAATGATATCATCGTGATATCATACGAGTAACTTTAAACCTATGCCAGTAACAGTTTCTGCTGATATTTGAATTTGTCAAAATAAATTACTCTGAAACCACCATGGAAAATTGCTGTGGAAAGTTTCTAGAATAGACTTGTTACCAAAGATTTTTTCCCCCCTTTTTTTTTTTTTTTTAGAATGGAACTCTATTAAATATTTCGTAAAGGACATAACAGCTCCACCACCACACAGTTTGCTTCACTGTAGGTGTTGCTTAGCATTCAAATAATTACAATTACACAAATTAAGTTTTGTTTTGAATTGGTTGTTTTTCAAACAGCTTTTGTGCACTGATTTATTGAACTTGGTGGGGAGGAAGGAGTAAGAGGGAGTGTTAGATTCCTGCAGGGTCCAATCATCCCACCTAACTTTTCATAGCTCCTAATATCCATACCACCCCCCGGCAGGACCCACCTGCTGGTAGGAAAGTGTGACTAGGGCACTATATTTCTCACTTTAAGTTGCTGGATAGAAAGAGAAGGTAGCAAATGGCTGCACAGAAATAAAGATGACTATGTTTGTATTTACTTATCAAATCGCATGCAGAGAGCTTCCTATACTCTATTATGTCCAGCCAGTACCTCTTGACCATGGAGCTCAGAATGCCGTCCTTATGCAAATCCACCATATCCTGTGGAAGCAAATTTAAAGATCTCAGCCAGGGAGCAGGTACTTCCTTGCTGCATTAACATCTGTTTGGATTAATCCTCACCTCTACAGCCTCTTTTGTTTTGTCCTTCTCACTTCCACCTTGATTCCTGCTCCCCAGTAAGGCACTTATTGATTCTTAATTTATTCAGGAGACAACATCAATACCCACTCTTCTCAAATCTTCATTGCTTTCACCTCTTCAAACATCCGGTATGCCTATTGGGGCCACATGCAACCATCCCTCTCCTTCCTGCAAGCAGCACCTGTTAAAAAGGGCCACTCCTCAGCCTTCACTAAATGTTAAAAAAATCATTAGTCCACACTAAGGCAAAATATTGCCTCACACTTGGTAAGGGACTATTCATATCTCATCATGAAGCCATACCATACATTGAAACTTGTATTACATACAAGCATACACATCTGCCTATATGCTTTGCCACACTTTGTGTATGCAAAGATATCCATGTATTACCGGCTCTTGCTTGAGACTGTCCTTGGCAGTAATTAATCATGTGGAAATGGTGAGATTTGGTGTGACAGAACCCTGAAGAAATCTTTGAGGTACACTCTGAAGACTTCTTATATGTAAGACATGACAATAGGTAGTACATATTTCATACAAGGGGGTTTTCCTCAGGAGCCTGGGAAAGAAAGCAGTCAGTACTTCCTCTTCTCCTCCAGACTGCCTAGTTAAAATTCACATGCCTGTTTGCCTAACAGACACTCTCAATCCAGAGATTTCCCGAGTAAACAATTACAGCAAGTGAACTGGATGCAGAACAGAGGTCTATTTTATAGAAAGATATAGAAAATGGGTGCTAAGCATTCCAGACATAAAAAGGTCTGGTTTTCTCCTACTCTGTACCTGCCAGTTGTCTCATTTACAGAGACACATGCGCACAGCTGGCTCCCAGGTCACTTCAACTACTTTGCAAATCCACATTGATCACCAGTTCAGGAGCCATTACACTCTCTCTTATATACTCTCACCCACTCCAGTTATTAGCAACACAGCAGGGGCCCCTGTGATCCCATGGTCCCATGCCAGCAGCTGGCCTCTCAAACTTACATAAATACAGAAAAGAGCCCTGCACGCAGGAACTTAAAAATGGAGTTTAATGAGAGGACAGGACAGATTCTGATGACCCAGCAGAGGGCGTGGCCAGAAAAGCCATCTGTTTACATGCAACTGCCCCCTTTTAGCCCCTTATCTCTCTATTTTCCTCAAGATCTTTTTCCCCAAACAACCTCTATCACTCCCTTTCCCTGCTTGTTGTTCCTTCCCTAAACATCCTGTGATAAGTTTTGCACAATCTCAAAATGCTCTTCCCCTGTAACCCATAACGTGTCCTGTACTCCAAGGTAGTGACCCCCCTCAACCTGAGGTGCTATAGAGACATATTCCCATGTTGAAGACAACACTTTCTCTCTGTATAACACAGCTGACCTGGATCCTGACAAAATGACAGCAGGAAATGGAAGCCTCTGTCCCTTACAGATCCTCTGCCAGCATAGTGTCATCCTGACACCCAAGATGCTGTATCCATGTTCTCAACTGCTCTAGAGCTCTTAGATCTTGCTTTCATCTTACACACAGTGACAGCTTGCTTTGCATTCCTTGGTAACCAAGTGGAGGGAAAAAAATGCTAAAGACCCATATAAGAAAAAAATACCAATATGAAGCAATACACTGTGGTTCTAGCCCACTCACCCCCTAAATTCAATACACTAGCATTGTTCAAAATATGTTTATAAGAGCATTAGCTGTTATAAACTTGTTGCCAGCTTCCTTCATATTCTTTTTATTTTTCAGTTCGAAGAGTTGCCTTTGGAATTCTTGCACTGCATTGAGGCCCCTAGCTGGACAATGTCTAAACACAGAGCAGCAACTGCACCCTTCTGAACTGAGACTTTGTTCAGCTAGAACATTACTTATTAATCACCAATTTAGTGTAAGAATACTTTAACTAAAAGATAGATCTGCTTCAGAAAACCTGGCATTATACTTGGCATTTCGTGTTCCAATATATACATGCACAGTGCTGTGATGCACAATTTCTAAAGCTGAGCATTTGCCTGGAAATCATATCCCTGAGATGTGAGGGATGAATGTTTCAGGAGTTTTCCTACCTTGAGACAACTTTCAGCTAGATATGTATATCCTGGACACAACGTCTCCTGTAAAAATAATCTCTCTGTACAACAATGGTGCAGTAGGAGAAGAAAAAAAAAGCCTGCAGTCTGTAAGTGTCTAAAAATTTTTTCTAGCAGTGACTGGAGATAAATTATCATCTCTGCTTCATCTGGAACCTGAAAATAACTATGTGTCCCTCACCAACCACATTTTTATAACACAATAATGTCATGCTTGATTTCAAGATTTTCAGAAAGTCTTGAAATGTGTTCTAAAAATTACTGCCAGGCAAATTCTTTGAAAGGAATTTTCTTAACCAATGGCAATGTGCTGTTTTATCATACCAAATGCATTTTGGATATTAATATAAAGTTAATATGATGAAGTTTTATAAAAAGATCTCCATTATTTACAAAAGTTGCTATTAAAGTGACATTCCTCATTTAATCTAAGTAATCATAGCTCTTAGGGTGAAATTGGGAAGCAATATTATACATCTGCTAAAAAAGAAATAGATGAGACTATATACATGTAAGAACTTTACAAATTAATAGCATACTTGCATTTCTAACACAAAGACAATGCTCCCTAGGTACAGACTAGAAATCAGATACAAATCGCCATGGGTTTGTACATGAACATAATGAACATCGGGTATATTCTTTGAGATATAATCATAACACCCTCTTGCCAAAAAATTGCAACAGTTTTTTTAATTATTTCCTCCATAACACAGCCCCTTTTCCATGTGCAGAACAGATCATCTCCTGTTTAAATACCACAATCGTGACTACAAAATACCAAAGTCAGCCAATAATAAAAACACTTACGTGCTGTATATGTTTATAATAAATAACAAAAATATGAAAGCACTTGCAAAAACAGATTGTACACATTAGCTTCAGGGCAGAAGAGGCTTGCACAATGACAGTCTTACCTTGGTACTGTGATTCAATTTGCAGGGGTCTGTTTTGCCTAGGAATCACACCTGCCTCATCACTTATCTGACATAAAAGAATCACAAACCATTTTTTGAAAGATACATAAACACCCTAATATGTCATGCCAGTATCACCAGCAATGGCAATAAATATTATCTCCATTTTAATTATTTCTTCCAGATACATATAATTTTTTTTTTTAATTATAAGACAGGCAAGCAGGTGAGGAAGATGATAATAGTTCTTTACATCACATGTAGTATACTATGGTCCATATCCCACTCCGGAACTTTTTTCCCTGAAGCTGAAAGAGAAGAAAGGTAATTAGCAAAGTCCTGGAGTCTCTGGAAAGGAGAAGACAAGAGGAAAGATGGGAAATGATCATACATGGTCAGTATCAAATAACATGCTTAGGGGGAAGCAGGGGTACCTTACTCAAAGACCAAAAGCGTTTTGTAAAATAAACTATTACAAATTGCCTGGAACATATTTCGGAAATCTAATTTTTTTTTCTAGTGGTGGTACACAGCAGCCTTTTACTTTTCTTTGCATTCTGACTGTAAAATACCATAGAATAAAACAGAATAGACTATTTACAGTTGGAAGGGAGCTACAATGATCATCTAGTCTGTCTGACCACTTCTGGGCTGACCAAAAGTTAAAGCATGTTATTAAGGGCATCAAAACAGAGATGCCCTTCTTCCTTATGCATTTTCTCTTGGTTATTCACTATTCAAAGTACTTGTAGCAAAATTTTTTGTTTCTCTTCACATGCATGTGTAGAGGATTTAGCATAATGAGGTCCTAATACTGACTAATGTCTTCTGGTGTCGTAATACAAACATTTAAGAATTAGCTAACTTCTATTTACAGTTCCACCACTGACTTCAAAAGAAATTCTGCTATTACAGTGAATGTCTATGCAATTCAACTTACAGATTTAGTAAACCATCAGAATAATATTTACCAATCATTCTGAGACATGGTAATGCTTAACTAAATGGACAGAATACTTTTAGTCCCTACAATAAATGAAGCATGTGAGTCTCCAGAATATTAGTAGCAGCAGCATATCTAGCTGAAGTTGACTAAAATATATATATAAAAAAGCATTATATTTGGAAATTTGATGCCTTCAGGATGGTTTCGATATTCAGAGACACACATACTTTTGTCAATGATTATAAAGGAAGGGAGTGCTTACAAACACTATTTCATTTATTCCTCTTTCTATTCAATTAGATGTGGCCAATATGTTAAGTGTTTTTCAGTAAGAACATAAGACACCAGCAAGATTGGCTTTCAACAGCATTAATCAATAATGCACTAGAACAGTGGATGATAATAAAAAGGCAGAAGCTACTAGTGGTTAGCATGTGAGATACTGTTCAGTGATGGTAACCCTTCTACACCACAGCCAGGACACTTCTCAAGGCCTTTTATCATTTCTCCCCCAACTACTGCAGCACTATAGAGTTGCAAACTGACTTGTTCTTTCAGGTATTAGATGAACCAATTCAAATAGCCTAGAAATTTCAGGGTATGAGTTTACCTGTGTTGTTCATCACTCCAGAATGACAATTAGGCCTTGGACACACAATCATGTTAATCCGAGAACAAATTTTTTCTGCAAATAAAAGGAAAAAACCCTAAGTACAATGTAAATTATTGCGGTGAAGCTGATCTGCTTCAAACAAAAAGCTTTACCTATCAGGATATTTCTTCAAACAAGAAGTTACAACTACAAAATCGCATCTTGTTATGATCTAAAACCCTGACTTTTATTTTGCTTGTTTACAAAGGTGTTCCCCAATTTAGACCAACCATGCAAACAGTAAGCCAAAAGAAAGACTTTCTTCTGCTGCCAATCACTCTTACCCCTATTATCTCTGTAATCACAATCCCTCCTTCCCCTCCAGATATCCCTGTTCTGGCTGCAGCCCAGATTCCACAGTGCAGCATACAGAGTTATGAAGTTATCTTCTTCACCCCAAAGGCCTCAACGCTGACCCCAGCACTGGTGTCAGCTGCCTGCCTGAGCGAATCGTGAGCTACCACAGCTGGGACAAGCAAGGTCCTCAGTAAAGCTCAAAATAGGTCACTGAAGCTATTTATATTCCCCATAAGTTAACCCACCTCAGTATCTGAACATTAACAGCTAAAAGGAGTCATCACTAGAAGGTATCTGAAGTGCCAGCAGAAACACTAACCAGATGATGTGAAGAGAGTGCCTGAGAGTACCAAGTGAAAGAGCTACCACATACTCTGGCAGTGAACAAAGATGCCAGCTGCAATTCCCAAGGAGATCCTGGGAGTAATAAGAGAAAATATCCAGTTGAAGCAGTAGGTTGCAAAATCCTTGGCAAGAAATAATGACAAAGCAGACAGCCCTCTTCAAGACCGCGAAGAAAGTAGCATCTGCCATCCTCGTGTGCCCCCTCTCTTCATTACTGGTGGTGCAATTCTGTTTGCTTGTGCTTCAAGTTTTGTTTTTCACAGCATAGCCTACTGATAAAAGAAATGGCCTGCTTCTGCCCTTTGGTCTTATGCCTTTTATCAGACAAAACACAGTGCCTGTTAAAGGAAAGTAGATTGTCCTATTTATCTTTCTTTCCTTTTGATAATTTTTCACTGATGTTTCCAATAAGAAGGGTTCCAACACCTCTTCTGGGCAGGACCAAATCTGCAGTATATTCTTTCTCCATTTCCATAATTGGTTTGAAGGTTCTGGTGCCAAAAGACTGCTCTGTGGTACAATGAATAACCTACTTCAAAAAATAATCAGGCAATATAAGTTACAAAGCAGAAATATATTGATTTTTTTAGTGCAATCTACATTATATCTGGCAGCAGGCAGCATGTAAGTCACCTCTGAACAGAGCCCTTTGACCATGTGCTATTCCTTTTACATGGTGATCATGTGCCACAGAGCAAATGAAACAAAAGTGGAATGGGGTCAAATGGGCATCTCTGCAGAGTATTAAGATAAAGGACTTTATAATTAAAACTGGAATATCTAGTCATCTTAACGCAGACTAAAGATTAGGATCAGTGCTTTTACAGGAAGATTAATTATACTTTGAGAAGTAGGGAATCTATCAGAAGGAAAAGCCTGCTCTGTGAAAGCAACTTAGCAAATGCAGTTTCAGCTACGACTGTAAAAATGATTCTATGACATACTAGTAAATGTCAGTTACTTGAAGCTTATTATTTATTCTGTGTACAACAGAATTGTCTTAGTGTTCTGCTTAGAGCAACTGAAAACAAGAATCCATTTGCTCTGTAATTTTGTAGTTGTAGGTACATGATCCATTAGCAATGGCATTTTTCCCTCCAATAGTTCATAACATTCCTTAAAATTATTATCTGAAAGGATAATGATACTGAACTTCTATAGCTGTTATCAGTTTCTTCTGTTAAAAAACAAAACAAAACAAAACAGAACAAAACAACAAAAAATATACACAGAGAAAAATGGAAAAGTTTGTTTTTCTGCAAACAGAAACATGCAAAGTTATTTTTTATGCTAACACATTAAGTAGGGATATAGTCATTAAGATTGTTATGGTATTTTGCATATTTTAGCAAAAATTGCTGGGGAAAATACGCACTTTCTCATACAAAGGAGCTCTTTGAGTGAAGTTATTTTTGTAATGTTTCCCATGATAGCAGCAGTTGCTATCATAACAAACAAAATTTAGAGCAGGTGTTTGTTAACACTGAGTTTCTAAAGATAAATAAAAAGCCCTTTGAGACTTCACACTACAGATTTGTTTCTAATGCACTGTAACTTATATTCTGAGCCTAACAACCATTTTTAGACTGTTACCCTTTTATAATATTTTTCAGTTGCTTCATTGCAAACCCATCATTTGATAAAATAATATATGTGAAACACGTCTCACCTTAGGTTGCAGCTAGTCAAGTATAAGGTGAGCAAGGTTGAGCAAAGTCTTGCTACTTTTGTCCAACTACCAGATAAAATCTGTGTCCTTGCATTGCTGATAATAGACCCTAGAGTCTCTAGAGATTCAGAAAAACAAAGCAGAGGTGAAGGGATGTTTTGTGTTTTTCCTGAACACATAAAGAGAAATCAATCATGTTTAGCCAGCTTGGGCGTGTATAAACTAAAGGCAAGCTAAAGGGTTAGGCTCTTTTTATGAAGTAACAATCTGAGCATGTCGGTGAAAATCAGAGAGATTTAAAACTTTGTGTCCCAGAAAGCGTTAGAAAAATTAAGTAGGTTAAATGTGAGGGATTTTGGGAGTGCTCAGTTCTCTTCTGGAGTTTGTACTGAGTGATTCTTCTTCGGTACGTACCACTCCATTATTCCCTGCCTCAGACGCTACGTTTTTCTTGAGCAGCAACCAAGAGATGCAATCCCTGTTGAGCAAGCTGACGGATGTTACCAATTTGGGGGGTTTTATACAAGAAATTTCTTACAGCTCCTCTTCCAACAGTCAGGTGATTATATTAGATTTTCAGTTTCAAGGAAGCCTGAGGAGTAGGTCTCACACCTTTGTCCATCTTATCTAACAGGGATTGGCTTGACATGCCATGGTACAGCAGTACTGGTCGAGCCTCACTTCTTAAGAGAATGTCACAAAGCCATTTCACCCTTCAGCATGCCTGGCTCTATAAAACAAGGTTGCTTCTTAATAACCAAGGAAAGCAAAGCTACCAGAAGCTAGTGTGGCTCGGGAGCGGCGATATACAGTGAAGCAGCAACAAAACATTCACTCATCCATTCCACCAGCCTTAGGCTAGGTGGTAACAAATGTACACGCAATAACTGCTTGCACATACACCTTACAACTATCATTGCAGGGTTTCCTTCCTGCCCTGGCAGACATTAAGGAAGTAGGAAAATGTGCAGACACTCCAGGGCATTATTAATTGGTTACATATTCTGCAGAAAGCATAACATACAGCTATCATTTGCCATAGCAACCTTAATGTATAGCAAGTAAGCTATATCTAAACAAGGCAAGAGAAAGGGAAAGCCTTTTTACAAAGGTGTTTCGTTTCTTCAATTGAGAGCTTAATGGGCGTTATGCTCATATTCAGCTACTTTGTGTGTCCTCAAGGGCAGCTCTGCAGCAACTGAGGGGAAGGAACAGGCAAAGGGCTGCCCTCTACAGGTTTCTGATCCTAAATGTTATAATGCCAATGTTATATTGACAACTATGGTCACCGAGAATAAAATGTGTCTGGCCTAATGTTAAAAGTGTGAACCTGTGAAATGTCTGTGTCTGAGTCACACTGGGCTGACTTTGTAAGCACTGAAGAAAAATGGATATCTTTAGTGGGAAATGCATCTCATCCTCCGGCAGAAAACTGATTATTTTTCTACGTGAAGAAGGCCAAGGTGCCATGCTCAGCCTTAAGGCACCCAGGGCACCTTTCCCCTCGGGGCCGCGGGGCTCGCGGCCAGGCCCCCCTCACAGCAGCGCAGGCCGCCCCCTGCTGGGCAAGCAGCCCACCCGCAGCTTCAGGCTCTTCCCTCATGGATCCGCGCGCTCTCCGCAGGGGACACCGCTTCCACAACGTTATGCAAACTGTGCCCCCAGTTTGTAACTTAGTCTACCAAGCCTTGCTACTGAGGGGGAGGTGCAGGCAACATTTTTTTTTTCCAAAAAGATGCGGGATTAAATTAAATTAAATTAAAGTTTTCCACTTCCTATGTGGGAGGTCGTTTTATAAGAGAATAAGAGCAGTGGTGGTTTCAAACAGAGGACTGAACCTCAGTGAGGACTGTGAGAGGGGCACAGCTGCTTGCCTTCAGGAAAAGGCAGAGAGAGCCTAAGAGCAGATAAAGCCATGAACTCTCTTTTCAGAATTCCTTCATACTGAGTGTGCTAATTCTATACTGAGAATGTTGTTAAGCACCAGGTTTGGCAAAGCCTGGGCACCTGACTTCAGGAGTCCAGCCTTACTCTTTGGGTTTTAGCCCTCCTCTATGAAATTAAAAAACCCCAAACAAACAAGCAAAAAAACCCCAACTCCTTCTCTGCTTTTCAGGGACACTGTGACACTGTTAATATAAACAGATATAGATTCTCAGGATCGGATATTGAGGTAATGTCCTCGTGCAAGTATTTAAGATTTCAACCTACATCCTTGTATCCCAATGATCTCATTTATTTGGCCTTTGAGAATGTCTCTTTATAGGGAGAAGGAAGAGTATGAAAAGGAAAATGTCCACACATACAAAATCTTCAGCCTCTTACATGGAAGATACAATAACTATTCCAGTGCTGGTGTAATGGCTAGTGGTAGTAGTTAAGCTTTTATAATAAAAGCTTAAGAGTATGGGCATTACGTAATGCCCAATTCCAAAAGTACGTTATGTTCTCTGATATCTGATATCTCTTGTTTTCGATAAAGGTTGAGCCATTAGACAAATTTTTGAGAGACTACTTTGGTGTGGTTACCTTCAGAGGTGCCAGGAAACATCTATTAATTTTTTTTTTCTGGCTAATTTGCCTTCAAATACTTCATTTTGCTTTCCCTGTGGTTGTGATGGCTATAATGTGCAAGAAAACAATTGGCACACTTGAAGGAGAATAAACAATAGCATTCTACTGTCCAGAAATTGTATTCCCTTCAGGAATTAAACCATGGGCTGGACACCAAGTCCCAGTTTGGACCTCTTCCAATTTGTCCCTGAAGTCCTTATTGAAAGAAAAGGAAGTTGCACTAGTACTGACAGTGACAATCTAAATTCTAAGTAGATTCTTAATAGTAAAATAAAAAAAGAGACCACAAAATATTTTTTCTAGTTGAAAGGCAGACACACGGAAGTCAGGGAACGCAGAATTGACATGTTTTAAGCAGCATCAGTTTGGCCTCATTTGTGTCTGCATCTATGTGATCTGAGACCTTTTTTTATAGCATTCTATCAGTTAAAGAGAACGAAGGACTGTACCTCATCTGTGTCAAGTAATTCAGTGTTTCTTGTACAAAACTGGGACTAGAAAACTTTGAATTTTTATTTTATCTTACCTGATTATACCTTCCAGGTATTAAAAAAGGCGACTTAGTATTTCAATGAATGAAGATTGTGAAATTCACTGGTGAAAGCCTGGAAATCAATATAACAAAAAGAAAAGAAAACAAGACAAGACAAATCTGAACGTTAATTTCCTCCCATTTTTTCAAAGTGTTATTTTTGAGAGCTTTGTCTTATGAATATCTACTCAGTGCTTCATCAAATCTAATCTCCTGATTCTACACAGACCTAATGTTATGTTAGACCATTTTATAAAGCCCATCAAAATCACTATCTCTACTGACAGAAAACTTCAGAGAGATTATGTTTTCTCAGTCTCACCCAAAACCTGACAATAATGGGAATTCCATATTCTAAATCCCAAGGTAATTTTCTGCCTACTGAAAGTCATGAACTTATAATATTTTTTTTAATCAAGAATTCATGTAACATTTCATTTCACAATATACTGGACTAGAAATGGCCTGCTGTCTGTTTTTATACTTTGAAAGAATGTTTCCTATACAGTGTTACATCTAAAAAGGCTGGCATTCAGTGCAATAAATAGCCAGTACTGTCAAAAAAGCAGGTGGAAGAAAATTTATTTTAATGTGACTCCATGAAGAATATTTGACCAGCAGTGCTTAAACAACAGCACTGATCTCATGCTTTGAAAAGCCAGGTAGATAGATTGTTGTAAGAAGTTGTACCTATATGAGACTCAAGGTCTCTCCAATTATTAAATACCATGAGAGCAGCACACTCATGGCACTGAATATATTGCAATGCAGAGGATGCCTGTATGTACAACATATTGCAGTATGAGTGTGTTGCATACTAACAATATTAACTCTCACAGGCAAAGACAGCTAAAGTACTTGGAATAGTTTTGTAGCTTAACTTTGGTTCTGTCACTGAATGTGAGCTTAGTTTCCCTGAGATATTTCTTCTTTTGTTAAGTACCAGTTCAGCTTCCTACAGTCCTGAAAACTGCCAGTGCTACACTGAATCCAGCAGATTCCATACACTCTATGTCACAGGACTCTTAAGGATACCAAGGAAACACTTGTGAGCGTGATGTACACTGACCAGAAAGTGTGGCAGCCAGTAATAATCATGCTAGTGACAGGTAAAGTTAAACAAAGTTAAAGTTAAACAAAAATTAAAAACCATGAGTCCCTTCAGGGCATTCTTATTTACCATTCCCACATCTATAGAAAGGAGATTCATGTAAGCACAAAATCCAAACGTCAGCATAAGAATCACCACTTACTTGACACAGCAATTTTTTTTAAAGATATGCATAGTTTTGCTTGGATTGCAGAGCTTGACCACTGCACTTTACCTGCAGACCACAGTGTGGGCCCAGGCAAGCCCACATGCGAGCTTGGGATCCAGGCACAACAAAACCACCTTCCCCAACCCTCATCTTTCCCACATCCAGCCATCTAGCATTTCCTACAGAAAGCATCTCTGCATGGGACTTAGCAGCTCTGCAAGGCTGGCTGTGGACACCCACTTCACAGCCCTGCTGTGAGGCTCTCCAGGTGGGCTGGTTTTGGCTGGGGTAGTTAATTTTCTTCACAGTGGCTGGTATGGGGCTGCGTTTTGGATTTGCACTGAACACGGGGTTGATAATATAGACATGTTTTTGTTATTGCTGAGCAGTGCTCACACACAGCCAAAGCCTTTTATGCTATATGTACTGTCACGCTGGCAAGCAAGTTGGAGGTGCATGGGAGGTTGGGAGGAGACACAGCTGGGATAGGTGATCCCAATCGACCAAAGGGATATTCCATACCATATCATGGATGGTATTCATGGGATTCAAGGGATATTCATTCCATACCATGCTTACTATAGAAAGTGGGGGGAAGAAGGAGGAAGGGGGAGATGCTTGGAGTGATGGTGTTTGTCTTCTCAAGTCAATGTGATGGGGCCCTGCTCTCTTTGAGATGGTTGAACATCTGTTTGCTCATGGGAAGTGGTGAATTAATTGCTTGGTTCATTTTGTTTGTATGTATGGCTTTTGCATTCGCTGTTAAACTGTCTTTATCTCAACCTAGGAGTTTTCCAGATTTTACTGTTCCAATTCTTCCCCCGATCCCACTGGTGGGGGAGCGAGCGAGGGGCTGTGTAAGGCTTGGTGGCTGCCTGGAGTTAAACCACAACACTGGGGCACTGTGGAGGGGCAGCAATCAGGCCTCCTATCTGCCCACCTCACACCGGCAGCCCATAGGGAACCAAGGGAGGATTCACGTGATTCCCATATTAGCAAGAATCATAGAATGTTTAAGGGTTGGAAGGGATTTTAAAGATCATTTAGTCCCAACCCACCCTGCCACGGGCAGGAACACCTCCCACTAGACTGGTTGCTCAAGGCCCTATCCAACCTGGCCTTGAACACTGCCAGGGTTGGGGCACCCATAGCCTCCCTGGGCAACCTCTCCCAGTATCTCACTACCCTCACAGTAAAGACTTTATTCGTAATATCTAGCCTAAATTTCCCCTCTTTCAGTTTGTACCCATTACTCCTTGTCCTATCGCTACAGTTCCTGATGAAGAGTCCCCCTCCAGCTTCCCTGTAGGCCCCCTTCAGATACTGGAAGGTTGCTATGAAGTCTCCACACAACTTTCTCTTCTCCAGGCTGAACAGCCCCAACTTCCTCAGCCTGCTTTTACAGAGGACGTACTCCAGTCCTCTTATCAACTTCAGGGCCCTCCTCTAGACTTGCTCCAACAGTTCCATGTCCTCCTTATCTTGGAGGCCCCAGAGCTGGATGCAGTACTCCAGGTGGAGTCTCCCCAGAGCAGAGTAGAGGGGGAGAATCACCTCCTTTGACCTGCTGGCCACGCTGCTTTTGATGCAGCCCAGGACTGGATTGGCTTTCTGGGCTGTGAGCGCACACCGCTGGCTCATGCTGAGTTTTCATCAACCATCACCTGTGGGGTTACAGTCACCCCCAAGTCTTTCTCTGCAAAGCTTGTCTCAGTCACTTCTCTGCCCAGCCTGCTGGTGTGTCTGGGGTTGCCCTGACTCAAGTGCAGGACCTTGCATATGGTCTTGTTGAACTTCAAGAGGTTCACATGGCCCCACCTCTCAAGCCTATCCAGGTCCCTCTGGATGGCATCCCTTCCGACCAGCATGTCAACTGCACCACACAGCTTGGTGTCACCAGCAAATTTGCCGAGAGTGCACTCGATCCCACTGCCCACGTCACCAACAAAGATGCTGAACAGTGTTGAGCCCAGTACTGACCCCTGAAGGACACGACTCGTCAGTGGTCTCCATGTGGGCAATGAGCCGGCGACCACAAATGCTACACCCAGGCAGCGAGGCACTCGGCTGGGCAGGAAAACAGCCCTCCCGCTCCACGCCAAACCACCGCTCCCCGGCCGAACCCCTCCGCAGTGCCTGCGGGGCTGTGTGAGGGGCCTGTGGGGCTGTGTGAGGGGCCGGCGGGGCTGTCAGGGGCTATGTGAGGGGCCGGAGGGTCCCCCCGCGGGCGGTGCCATGTGCCGCGGAGAGTACGCGATAACCCCACTCCCCGCCACTCTCGCCAACCGCCCCTTGGTACCGCCCGCCCGTCCGCGCCGCCTGACCACCTCCTGCTTGCCTGCGCATGCGCGCCCCATCTCCCCGTGCCCGACGCTTGGCCCGGCCCCGCCCGGCCGCCGGGCTGTGCGCCTGCGCGCCGGGTCGCGCGTCAGCGTCGCGCGCCGTAGAGGCGCGCGGGGCTGAGCCGCGTGCGGGGCGCCGCCATGACTTCCGCGCTGGAGAACTACATCAACCGTATCCGCCGCGGGGCACGGACGGCGGGGACCCGCCCGACCGGCCTCCCGCTCCTGCGTGGCCGCGGGGGCGGGACGGGACGGGACGGGAGGGGAGCCTGGCGGCGCGGGGCCCTGAGGGCGGGGCTGGTGGCGGCTTGCGTTGCTTGGGCCCTTCCCGGGTGGTAGTGTCGGTTTCTCCGTAAGAGAGATCGGCTCGGCAGGCAGAGCGGAGGTTACAGGAGGTCACTCGGAGAACAGGGTCCCCCAACAGCACCCCGTGCTGCAAGGCGCAGCGTTGCACGATCCGTGGTGAAGAGCGAGATTCGCGGTGGGCCTGCCCCCCCGAGAGCTCCTAACGCGCCTTTAGTTACCACCTTTGCATCACTTGTTCAAAACCCGAGACTTGGGGTTCTTGGAACGCTTTTCGTGCTGTTTTTTTGTACTTCTTGTAACCCATGGGCATTTTCAGTTTTATTCACAAACAGTAAGATAGTAACCCGGAACTATTCAGGATGATGGATATGTGGTCACCCAATTGGGATAATGAGATATTATGGAGATGGAGAATGCTAGGCTTGGGATCACCACTTCAGAGCAGTTTTTTAAGGACTTAAAGTGTTTATAAAACTGTTTATGTTTTTGCAATTTTGAGGCAATGCAGTTAGTAATGGGAAGAGAGGCGAACTCAAATCTTTATTCTGCTTTTAATGCTGTTCATGTTTGTGTATGATTGTCCAGGGTTAGGTTAAGTGAAACTTTAAAGGAGATTTTCATAAAAATGCTATGTTGTCAATTGGTACTATCAACCATGCTGCTTTAAAAAAAATGCTGATAGGCTTTTCTGGCTCCTAATGGCTCTTAAAACCTATATTACATATGAATGTCTCAGAAAATCATAATGGTTTTATTTCAGATATCATTAAACATTTCCTTAATAAACTACCAGGTACTGTTGCAGTAATTACTTCTGATGGAAGAATGATTGTGGTAAGACTTGTATTTTTTAACATTTTATTTTCCCCAATAAAGATTTTCCATCATGGCAATAAAGAAGCTGTGTTAGGATATTCTCAGTTACATATTCACACCATTAAATCATAGAGTACAGAATAATGGCCATAAGGCTTAAAAAAATGTTGTAAATGGTTACTGATTCTTGCACATCAGCTTTGTCCATTGATAATTTTCTGCATACACATGCTTTGACTTTTTTGTCAAATTAAGTTTTCTGTGGAAATGCACAAGAAAATGCATTTCTCTTCAGTAATCTGATTTCTATCTCAAATGTCCTCTTTGTCCTGTAAGCTTTTGAGCTTTCATGGTAGAACCATTTCTTCCAGCATTGGCTGGAGAATTGCTGGAGAATTGCTGTGGGATTTGTTTATGCCTGAAAACCTGAGGATTGGCCAACTTATATATTAGACTGTATAATATTTTGGGTTTATTGCTTCTGTGTTTTGGGGTTTTTTTCTTGCATCACTTCCCCCCTCACACACACTTTTATGCGTATGTGTTTTGAGTGTAACTTAACAGTGTGATTGTTGCATGAGGATTGTATCTTTCTGTCTGTACTTAGCTTCATGCAGCCTCTGGAAAAACAGAAAAACTACTGGCCTCACCAAATCTGTGTGTCTGAAGTCAATCTGATAAACTTTGTGTTGTGCTACAAGATACTTTGTACCAAAAAGATTTGAATGGAGTTGGTATACATGACTCCTTGCTATGTGGTTAGATGATATAAATGAATATTAGCATGATAATTTTAATTTACTAAACACAAAATAATTTACTTCAGAGATACCACTTAAAATTGCTTATTAGGAATGGTTTCAGTATTGTTGACCACAAGAATCCAATTTTTCTGGTATTTGTTTTAGTTAAATATTTGATTTCTAGAAACTTCCATACAAGGAAGACTAAAACAATGTAAAACCAGTAAAATTAGGTTTGTAGAGGTCTGTCACTGATACAAGGGAAACTTTACTTCTTTTAATACTAAAGCCTATTTTAACTTTCAGCATGAACACTCAGTAATAAATGTTCACTTTTCTTAAATTGATTATTGCTTTGAAAATTACTTCCTTTGGCTATTTGTGTTTAATCCAAACAATAAAATCTAAATAGAATATCTATTCTCTAGTACCTTAATTTTGCTACCTTGTTTAAGGTATCTTTGAGAGCAAAGATGATAAATTTAAGAGTTAACTGGAGTGCTTTATTTTTGTATGTTGTTTTCAGGGAACACTCAAAGGTTTTGATCAGACCATCAACTTGATTTTGGATGAAAGCCATGAACGAGTGTTCAGTTCTTCACAAGGAGTTGAGCAAGTAGTGCTGGGATTATACATTGTAAGAGGTGATAATGTGTAAGTATAGCATGTCCTTGTTTAAATCTGTTCATATGAACTTAGTATGTACGTGTGCATGTGTTTGTGTATATATGTATATTATCTGTATAAATCTTGATAGCCCCAGACACCTTGCACCTTTGTATCTGTGAGTAGCACTGTACTGTCAAAGTATTGTCAAAGCTGAGGCAACCAAGGAAGTGTCTGAGTCACCATCCCTGGAGATATTTAAAAGATGTGTAAAAGTGGCACTTAGAGTCAGGGTTTAGTGGTGGGCTTGGCAGTGCTGGGGCCTCGATCTTACAGGTCTTTTCAGACCTCGATGACTCTGATTATGTATTAAAAGAGCAATCATCTACATTTACGTTACAGAAGTGATGGCATTGTAATGTTAAATGTGGTTTTAAACTGAAAGAGGAAAGATTGAGATTAGATGTTAGGAAGAAATTCTTTACTCAGAAGGTGCTGAGACACAGGAACAGGTTACCCAGAGAAGTTGTGGATGCCTCATCTCTGGAAGTGGTCAATGCCAGGTTGGATGGAGCTCTGAGCAACCTGATATAGTGGGTCAAATGTACGAGTTGATACTTGATGTAAATATGCTTATAAAATGAGAGTAAAAGCTCAGTAAATGCAGAGAAAAGTAGCTGATGTGCCCAACACATGGGAGGGTTACAACAGAAGTGGAAAGAAAGCCTGGTAAGTGGGCCTGCTAGGAAGATTACTTTTGCAGCAGCATTCTGAAACTGATGGCAAAAATAATATTCTTTTTTAATCACAACTAGAAAAAGAGTATGTTGTACTGACCAACACATGAGCCTGGGTAGGAGTTTTCATCTTCTAATTCTAATGGATGTTTCTGTACAAAGAAATATCAAGAGTTAAATTTATATCTAGGTACATTTATCTGACATCGTTGAGACATTTTGGAATGCTTTCATCACATTTGACTTAGGCTTTTAAGAAAAAGTAAATTGACACATATGCAAAGGTAGGACTAAGCATGCTACTCTACTAGTAACTTTTCATTCACATACTATAAATGTGTATAAAAAGCCAAGTAATTGTTTACTGCTTCACTCTTTCATCATACCAGATGGCTACAATACTCAAGTATACTCAAAGTATTCTTTTATAGAATTTATTCTAATTTTTTTGCAAACTTAACAAACTTGGAAACATACTCATTACAAGGAATAATGCGGTATTCTTGCAACTCTTAACAAACTGACATTTAATATTCTTATAGGAAGAAGTAAAAAGAATCAACGACTAAGTAACAGTAACTTCAAAGTAGGCAACTCATAAAATAGGGAAGGTACTGGAAAATAAAAGGGAAGAAGCAGTCATAATATAAAGTGCTTCCAGACATTCCAGTGTGCATCACTAGAAGCTTGCAGAGAACATGCAGCATCAATCAGAAAAAGTCAATATGATTAACAACAAATAAGGGTTGTTAAAAGGAAAAAGACAGTTTCTGTTTTAGAAGTGCGTGATTAAGGAATAATAACCTCATTTTTTTTATTGTAGTGCTGTCATTGGTGAAATTGATGAAGAGACGGATTCAGCTCTTGACTTGGGGAATATTCGAGCAGAACCCCTAAACTCAGTTGTGCACTGAAAAGATGAAAATGCACAGGGACTTTGTAAATCTTTGGTTGTACAGACCTATTTAACAACGTGGACAGTTTTTACAAATTGTGTTTGTTTAGACACCAATTTTTTATTATGAATATGTTGTAGTTTTGCATGTAAATTAAAGTTTCTACATTTTACTAAAGATACTTTCATTGGATTTCCTTTGGGGTTTTATGCTGCGTGAGTTCACTGGGAAATGCATGCTGGCAAAAGCAATCAGTATCAGTGATGGTCCTGATAGTGTGTAAATATACCTTGTTCTTAAAATAAGATCTCACTCCTAAAGTTAAACCAAGCTCTTTTCTGTTAACCCAGGATTATGTGGAGGTAGATGTGTAATAGTCCGTTTAACCATCTCTAAGTGTAGTTCTGGCCATAAGTAGAAAACTGTTCCTTGTGGTTGGTTTTTCTTGTGTGTGTGTGTGTGTGTGTGTTTAGTGTAGAAGGAAGAATGTTGAAAGCTTTCACAGTCAAATTAATGGCTTATTCATATAATACATTTTTTGTTGTTTATCAGAGATTGTTCTCTAGTCCTCAAGACTATACTGGAGGTGCAGGAGTTCTTAATGGCTTAATCCTTGTGGAGAAATTAAATTGGAGAAAGAACGACTTTTGAGCAGGAGCACAAAACTTAAATACATACATTTATTTGAAGCCCATTAAGAGAATGAGACCAACTCATTCTCTGTCTTCACCTTTCAGCAGCTGTCATGTTGCTCAAAATGTGGGTAAGATCTACAGAAGGAGAATTGTGTGTTTGCTAATGTGTAACCATTATCTTAGAGTGTAGTTTAGAAGACCCCAGAGTACTTTTGGTAGGTAAGTTATTTATTTTCAACAAAACTTGCTGCAGTATTGAATATAAGGGTCTCATGTAATCATAATCACATGTAGGCCTCTTACAAACCAGCAACAGCCAAGTTAAGTGGGACAAGCTCTGTGCAGTGTAGTGTGTTTTAGGCCACATCCTATTGACTACCCAGCAGAAATGCTGGTATGGTGGCAGCAAGAGGAGGTCAGTACTATTGAACAAAGCTGTTTTCTGTGTCCATGAGTGTGCCAACAGGCCCAGTATTTTTTCCCTCTAAAAATGTGCTGTCAAAAAAAAAAAAAATTAATGTGCAAGTTTGAGGGGTTTATACTGATTTTAATATTAAGTGGGATTCGGTACTTTTCATTGCAAGTTCATTGGAAACCAAATACATTGAACTGAAAATATTTGTTCTTCATAAAATCTGTCTCTCAGTTCTTGTAACTTCCAGCTTGTTTTCTGAGATTCTTCTTGATGAAGCATGCAAAGCCTTGCTAACCTTTTTTCATATTTGTCCATCTTGTGATCTAGTAATGTGTTGTAGTTTTCTGTCCACATTTCTGCAGGGAATTGCTGAGCAGGCATCAAATCAGGCAAATCGGGGGTTTTCTCTGATTACCGAAAGTCAGTAAAATCTGGCTGTAATTAGTTAAGTCAAAAGAATCAATCAGTTTCATTAAACAGTCAATAAAAAAGCCCTTTGGCAACTAAACACTGATATTGGCACAAGAGAAAAGAAAGTGAATAGTAATGATAAAGAACAAAGAAAGATTATTAAATTAGCTACTTTAGAGTGCAGAAAAAAAATGCAGAGGCAAAGAGGAGTATCAGGATGAGCTGATTTTTAATACTCTACTCAGCCTTGGGTGTATTAGGAGTGTTATAGTTGAAAGACAAGTTGAACACTTGTGTAGAAGCACTGGAAAGACTGCGGAAATCTGTTGCTTTGTAGCTGAGGAATTAAGTTTGAAGCTGAGTCATGGAATGCTAATGCATATGGAGACCATGTGCCTTGAGCACATCATTTGCGAGGCAACTCCTTGGTCCTGTACTTGTTTAAAGATTTAAAATATGATGAGCTGCTGATGTGAGTTGAAACTACTTTATCCTTGAAGTGCTGATCTCAGATACAAAACTGGAACCCACAGTAGTGAGGTTTATCCATAAAATCCAGGGACTGACCAGATGAGAAATCCAAGTCATTCAGAAATTGCTGAAGCGTGATCTGGAATATAAGTTTCACAGAGTTTGCTGTTTAAAACACAGATTGCAAACCCTGTCTTCCCTTCAGGTGAGTTACCTCAGACATTGCATGCACTTTTTCTGGGCTTGAGATCCTCTGTGTGCCCAGAGTTGTGAGGAGCTACAGCTTGAGAAAGTTGTATCTGCTCTGACAGGCTAACCTAAACTTAGAGCATTCTCTATCTTGAAAAAGGTAAATTTAAGCTCCCTTTTAGAAAAGGATCCTAACAAAAAGTGCTGGCCCAAAAAATGGGTTGATTATATGCAGAGCATTGTGAAGTCGACTTCTGCAATGAGATAAGCAAAGGATGGCCAGCTCACAGGACTGGTTGGGACTGTGGGCTGTAACTGAGCCCTGTTGAGATGGAGCCCTGCTCAGAAGTAAAGTTCTATCTAAAACCTTAAAACCAAAACCCGTGGAAGTTGCTTGCCTTTATGCTTATCAGCAATGTAAAGTTTTTCAGAGTTGTGATTTTTGGCTTATGTTCACATTTTGTTTCAATTTCTGCTCCAACATTTCCTTCAATTTGATGCCATTGGTTTAGGTCTGGATTTGACCAAAGCCTCTTCTGGATGTACTGGTGAAGGGATCAAGGCCAGCAGACATAGTCAGAAGGGGATTATTGAAATCAAATCTAGAACTTTATATGCTTTTTAAAATTATAACATGCAATTAAAGCCTTGTGAACTTACTGGGGCTTTAATCTATAGGGGCTAACTGGGTCCCTGTAAGTATATGGTTCAGAGAAGCACTCAATAAAACAGTATTTCATGCAGGAAGTTGAATTATAACCAGAGTATTTTCATTATTTCAGTATTTCATTGAATCAAGCCTGTAGCACCGTCCAAGCTGGAAAACAGGTCACTAATGAGAGTAACTATTTTATGTCATTATTTTCATAAATGAATCAAAGTAGGAAAAATTAGTGGGATTGAAACCAGAAAGTGGACATAGAGTGATGGCCTAGTATTAGTGATTCTGAAAAAGAAAGCTAGAGAATGTTAGTCCCCAGCAAAGGAAGAGGAAGAGTAGAATGGAAGCTCAGCATGTGTGAAGCTTCTGTATGCATCTTGACAGCAGGGGAACTACTAATGTGAGTCATGCCTATGAAACACAAGATGATTTATGCTTGCTAGTTATATTTGGTCTATGATACATTTTGGCACCTGTGTAAGCAACTCTACTAATTTTTAATAATTGGGTTCTTATTTCTGCTTTACAGTTGGGTAAACTGCAGTTTATTCTTAGAATAATGAAAATAAGTCTGTGGATGTTTTTTTCAAAGTGGAAAAGTTCTTCAGTTGCAGTAAAGATCCAGAAAAGCTGTGTCATATCAATTGGTTTTAGCTTCTCTGTTGCTCAAATAATAAAGCATACTTCAAGTACCAGGTATTCACAAACAACCATGAAACCCAGATGTGCCAGAAGGTCACAGATAAAACCTTGAGATGAGAGAGGGGAAACTTGTACCAGACTTAGCTTAAAAACATATGAGAGAAGATAGTAAAAAGCCAGGTGTTTGTCCTGGAAATCCTGTTCCTGATAGGCTCTTTCAGTGTGCTCTGTTTTGTCTTAGAGTCCCTTTCAGGGGCCTTTTTTTTACAGTAATTTTTACAGTAATGGCAGAAATGCTGATATTTCTTACATCAGCAGCATTTTCCCTGAATAAAAGCTCCACTGACGCAGGTGGAAATCAAAGCCAAAAACACAATAGCATTCAGACTTTTGCCAAGAACTCCTTGCTAGCACTAAAAGCAAGACCTTATCTACACGGTAATATCTTCCTTCCTGGAGCCTTGTAGCACGTTCCAGGAACTCAGACTTGCGTAGAACAACGTGCTGCTGCTTTTCAGCCTTAAATCAGTAACCATCAGTGCCACTGAATGCCAAAAAATTTCACTCAATGCTCAACTTCTTTCCTGCTACTTGCACTTTTAGATAAAAGGTGTTCATTACTTCAGGGAGTGCAAGAACATGTGCATGTACTGGTTTTGTCCACTGAAACATCTTTAATGGTTATCCTGAAGTCTTCTTGTTGTTTTATACTCTATCTTATTTTTAATTTAGTGTTGAAGTCAGCAGTGGTGATTACAGTGCTCTGCATAGAAACAGGAGTGAAAAGTGTTCAGGTGGAGAAATTAAAGAAACTGGATTTTAAGTAGCATAATCCATAAAAAATAGAAATAAGCGGGATAGAAACCTGTTGAATATGAACAAAGTTGGGCTTTACAGCAGTGATCATTGTAGTAAAATTCCCTTTAACACAGATACAGATGTTGTATCTGCACATTACTCATGAGAAATACTGAGAATGTGTGAGAAAACATTCACAGAAATATTTTAAGGCAAATGGAAGCTTCCTATCCTAAAATGCTACTTTTTAATTATGGTTCTTGCTTTGTATTTTTGTGCTTAAATCTTTGGGAATTCTCACTTGTGTAATTTCAGACTTCAAGTCTGCTTATGATGCAGATGGAAACCTGTATGCAGATGAATGCTGTGATGTTTCTGCAGCCTGGTCAGAACTGCTGGTGGTGTATGGCTGGGATCTGCAGCATTCGCATTGACCAACATGTAGGTGATGTAGTGTCCTCGGATACAGGGGATAGATTGTCAAAATTGTATTCAAAGCAACATGCATGCAAAAGACCAGGAAAAACATGTAGCAATAACCCCCGTTGCTATCTATAGCTGTCTCAAACTCAGTTTATAGCATTTCCAATTAATCAAACCATTTCTTGCCGACTGCCACCTAAATACTGCTGCATCTATACCATTTCATACATACAGACTGGATGTATGGGAGCTCTGTTTTGCAGTGAGTTACTGGACTGAACAGAAGCCAAGGCAGGAAGTGATTATGGCTAAGGAGCTGATGCTGACTGAAAATGTGTGATGCTGCAGAGGAAATATCACACAATAGAACCACAGTTAGTTTGGAAATAGATTTAAAAAACAGCACATTCGGATGTAAACAGTCAATAGGACTGGGGCCAGCCTTTCTCCTAACAATCAGATCATTAGAAGTAGAACCGTGCAGAATGATTTCTATGATTAAACTGCAAGTGCAAAATCCATGAAAGCATGTGCTCATTAATGTTTAACGGAAACAGCCTTCTTGCTTTTTGCCATATTTCTTCTCTGGGTTGTCCTAACTCATCCTGGATACAAGAGTCAGGCATAAGTCCAGCTTAAATCTAGGAAGTGCAAATGCTCAAGGACTTTGAAAAGACAGGCTTAGATTCTTTTTTGTAACTATAATAGGGTAGGATCACTCTCTGGAATTGCACTTTTGATTTACAAGATTGCTTCCATGAAAAGTCATCAGCTCACATTTAATTAAAATTGTCAGGATCCAAGTGGAAACAGTCTCTGATGAGAAACAGAATAGAGTTGGTGATTGTTATCATTTAAGTGATGATTGTTATGTGGGTGAAGGGGACGGCTCCCTGATTTGTCTAGAGCCTACTTTAACTTCTTGCATTGTTTGTAACATCCATCAAGTAATTTTGAGTTTTATGCTCTAACTTCCGATTCCACCATTTTATGGAAGTCCAGCCAGTACAGAAAGCAGTAAGAAAGACAAGCATTAGTATGTTTGTATGTATTAATTTCATTTGTGGATAAGACGTACAATGCTTTACAATTACACTGTATGTGCAAGTAGTTTTGAGTTTGGTTCTAATTATGCTTTTTCTGAGTTTCAGCATCAGTGTCAATGTCAGCAGAATTGCCCTTAGCTAAAAGGAGGCAGGCTACCTTACTGCTAATGCCACACTTCAACACAGGTGTGCCCTGAGCAATGCCCTTCATCATCTTGGGCCTTAAAGCAGCTGAGCTTTATTTATGAAAGTACAGAAGTTTCCATGTACTCTGCCATGGGCCACCTGAGCCTTAGTAACTTAACGAAACAAGAAACTTCTCAGATGACAAAGGTCCTACTACAGCACCAAGAAAGGCTTTATCAGTGAAGATAATCTAGACATAAGGAAGTTTTGCCACATAAGTGGCAAAAGCCACTGAGCCACCTCTTTTCCATGCACTTCTGGTACATATTTTTATCTGTTTGCTCCTGAGTGAATGCCTAGAACATCTACACATCTTGTCTTCCATGTTCAAAATGAAAGCTAATTTTTCTCACAGTGACTTAGGTCTAGAGGGCAAAATACAGGTGCAGGATTTTGTTTAGGAATAAAGTCGGAAAGTAATACAATCATTTCTGGAGAGGAGATTAAATTCAGCCCATGTTTAAAGTAACTGTTTCTTCATCCCAAAACAACATCACCCCACCCTAAATATGTACTTTTTTTGATGGAAGAAGTCTCAGCTCCATTGCGGATACCAAGAAACTAACCAGGTTTTAAAGCCCAGCTTCTTCAAAATGTCGGTGCATTCCCAGGATACAGCCCTGCAACTGTAGGGAGGACATCATAAAACAATTTGAGTTTATTAATAGTAGATACAAAGGCATGTTGTTGATTAGGTTGCTCTGAAAAATTGCGTGGAAAAGGGAGATGAAATGTGCCTGTATCATTCAGAATTCCTTGGTAAATAATTTCTGCTCCAGCTGCGTAGATGCTGTGAAAGAACTGTTAGCTTTGTACTGCGTTACGTTTGCCTTGATGTGCTAAAAATATGTAAGCACGATCCTCTTTCATGAAAAGCCATTCAAGAGGAGCATTTGAGTTGGATATTAACTGTCTTCTCATTCTTGAAACAGGGAATGTAGTTGTATGTACGGGATTTTGGTAATACAACTGCGGATAAAAAAGTGACTTTTCACTAAGGCTATAGCAATCAACAATTCATTGGCAAGGTGACTGGCAGCACTGTTGACATAGGTATCACAAGTGTTTATAAACGTGAAGGAGGCAGTTTTTTGCCTAGAGCTCCATTACATTGTCCTTGTCATTTGCAATACACAGCTGTACTCATAAGGCCCCACTAGTACATGGTCCAAATTATCCTGAATAAAGCATGGACTGTGCTGCTTGCCTATGTAGTTCATTGTCCTCGTGCTTATAGCAGTGATTAAGTTAATAGTAATAATTAATGATTAATAATTCATACTGCTAGTAAGTAGTAGAATGGTCAGCTATTACAGTAACCTCAGCTAAAGTACTGCTTAAGCTTAGGATAGTGATCCTATGTATTGTCATGTAATGTGGTATCAGCTGTTTTCACTGAGCACCAAGAATCAGCCACACACTTTTAAAAATAGGTTTTTCACTACTTAACAAAAAACCAAACATATCATTTTTGAAGTTAATGAATTGACCAGACTTTCCTTTATTGTTATGCTAGATGTTAACACTGGCTTTCAGTTTGCTTTGTCCAGCAGTCAATAAATCATGGAATCAGAGAATATACTGAGTTGGAAGGGACCCGTGAGGAACATCAAGTACTCTTGGCCCTCCACATGACACCCCAAGAATCACACCATGTGCCTGAGAGTGTTGTCCAGACACTTGAACTCTGTCAGGCTTGGTGCTGTGACCACTTCCCTGGGGAGCCTGTTCCAGTGCCCCACCACCCTCTGGGTGAAAAACCTTTTCCTGATATCCAACCTAACCCTCCCCTGACTCAGCTTTGTGTAATTTCCTTGAATCCTGTCACTGGTTACAAGTGTGAAGAGGTCACTGCTCCTGCGCTTCCCCTCATGAGGATGTTGAAGATTGCAGTGAGGTCTCAGTCTCCCCTTCTGCAGGCTGAACAGACCAAGTTACCTCAGCTGCTCCTCATACAGTTTCCCTTCCAGGCCCTTCACCATGTTCGCTGCCCTCCTTTGGACACTCTCTGAGAGCTTAATATCTTTCTTATATTGTGGTGCCCAAAACTGCACACAATATTCAAGGTGAGGCTGCACCAATGCAGAGCAGAGTGGGACAATTGCCTCTTTTGATGGGCTGGCTCAGCAAGAGCCAGCAGTAAAGAAGCATTTACTATTGGCTTTTCTGGGCAAATAGATCGTGTAGCTTGTTTGGTTTCATTAACAGATTATTAATTAGATTATTATCTCTATATCCAGATAAGGGTGGTGAGAGGTGCCTTGAAGGTAAAGGGAAGATGAAAACAGGACAAAGTTGGTCAGTATGCTGACAGGAGACCAGTTATATTTCCTCTGCAAAGCATCAATGATGCAATTAGAGCTGCAGAGGTCAGCAACGAACTCTAAGCAGGTCTCTGGATATTTCAGAGGTCAAGGCCCACTGGCTGGACATGCAAGGACTACAGAAGCACTACTCAAACAGCCTTTAATCAAGTGTTCAAGACACTACTCTGGCTATAACAAAAACTAATCATGTTTTGGAGCTGCAATTCAGTGCAACATTCTGAAGACTGGAAAACCCAGATTACTTATTACATCATTTGCTCTTGAGTAAAAAACCAACTGGTATAATTAGATTTTCTAAAACAGAATTGTATATTCTGTACAATCAAATTACAAAATCTAGTAATCCACCCACGATACTGACCTGAGTTTCTAACATACCTTAGCAAGAAAGGAAATTAGGAGACATGGTTGCTTTCTCTTTGGAAAGAGATCAGGAAGTCCCAAAACCTAAATTTGACTGTTATGGTGCAAGCCAGAGAAAGCTGTGCTAAAGGAAAGAAACACGCACCACTCTCCCTCTGTCCATGGAATTACTCACATAATGGTAGAAGGCTACCAGATTGGCATTTTCCCCTTTACAAACCCATGCCAGCTCCTCCCCATCATCGTTTTGTCCCTAACATCTTCAGAAATGCTTCCAGGAGAATGTGCTCCATCAGCTTCCCAGGCAGTGAGATGAGGCTGACTGGCCTGTAGTTCCCCAGCTCCTCTGTCTTGCCCTTCTTGAAGACCAGACAGGTATTTCCTGGCTTCCAGGCCTCAGGAGGCTTCCCTGATTGCCCTGGCTTCTCTGAGATCATCGAGTGTCCTCGCTGTGACACTGGAGATGGACTTTAAAGTGAAGGAATGGACTGGATTTCTCTTTAGCCTCTCCTCCCCACCCCCTTGTAATTGCTGTCACCTGCTGCTTTGCCAGATGCCAACAGTGAATTTCTGCTCTGCTGCTCCAGCAGCCAATGGGCAGCACACAGCAGGCAGGAAGAAACTTTCAAACACGTCTTGTCCCAGTTTGTCCCAATGACAACACAAAGTGAAGGCCCAGAGGTTCTGCACCAGCTTTCTCAGGGGAGAGACGCTACAATGCACCGCAAGCAGGCTGAAGAAATTTCCTTTTATCTTTGAGGGCTACAAACAGGGATTTGCCTGTGTTTTATGGCTACCAGAAGCTCACCCACTACCTTCTCCCCAGAGGGAGAACACAAAGAGGATGGCTCTAAAGCACTGGAAGAGTCTGGCAGCTGATTAGTAGCAATAGCTCACCTGTAGGCCATGATCTTAACACGACTGTGCTTCAAGACTTCAAGGAGGAAGGGGACACATTTGCCTGGCCTCTGGGACAGGCTGAAGATGCAGCTGTGAGCAGAGCTGAAGGGAGCAGAGGAGAGCTCTGGAGAGTTCTATGGGCAGAGAAGGGGTGTAAAAGCAATGTCAAGAAGGGGAACAATAAAACAAAAGGCATGTCCTGGATTGCAAAGTTTATTAAATATCAAGTTGAATTATACACAGTGTATTAGCTTCACAAAATTGTATTCATATAAAAAGGAAGAATGTCACAGCAGCATTTAATGCTTTCCTCGCTGACTGTTAAATCCTTGAATTAGTAAACTCCCCCAAATTTTTCCAGTCTTCTTCATCTCAGTACAATCATTCTTACATACATCTTTTCCAGAACTGGGACTTTGTTCTATACTCTTCGGATTGCTGGTGACTTTTCAGGATGGGAAATGACAACTCAGATCTTCATTAACAACTGGTAGTTCCCTGAAATAAGTAAAGTTGCTTGTAAGGTTGACACAATGTCCCACCACATCTGGGCTAACAGCTGGGCTACAGACACCGTATCATCAGCTGTTAGCAGCAACAAAAAGACTGCCTATCCTATCACAGAAGTTCTGGAGAGTACTGAGGAAACTTAAAGTTGATGCACTAACATTCATTTTTTTCCCTCCGATTAGAAATGTTTTGGGTGCACCATAGGTTTTGATGCAAGAGCTGCAAATGTCTGAAACTGCAGCAATTTTTAATACAGAAATCAACACCAATACTGTGAAAAGGTACTGAGTTTGTGCCCATTGCCTCTCATGGTATTCAAGTGTACTGTGTGCGTGACTGAGCTCTATCACAGGCTGCCCGTGGAGCCTCTGGAGTCTCCCTCCTTGGAGGTATTCAAAAGCCAATTCAGATGTGGGCAACTGCCTCTAGGTGGTCCTCCTTCAGCAGGGGGGCTGGACCTGATGACCTCCAGAGGTTCCTTCCAAACTCACCCATTCTGTGATACAAAACAAACAAACCAAAAAGACCATATAACAACTCTTAGTACTACTACATACTCGGTCATTTTAAACCTACATTGCATAAAGTGATGACAATGTAAAGTACCCTTTTCTACAGCTTGAACACCTGTAAAACTTTATCAGCAGAAACAGTCACTGCATCAGGACTGAAGCAGCAGGGTGAAAGCACATCAAATAATGTCCTAAACATTAAAATAACACTGGAAACATTCCAAACACATTGACTAAAATGATTTAACAGAACAAAGCAAACGCTAATGCATTGACCATAATAAGAAATAAATTTGATGATTTTGTCAACCTCAAGAGTCAAGATCAGTCAATCTGCGAGTCAGAAAAAAATGAATGTGGTTCTTATTGTGAGTGCAAAAGAAACCACCTATGCATCAATAAACCAACAGGTAAGTGCAATGTGCTTGACATCCATTGAATACAGTTTATGAGTTTATATTCCAACTGCAAGAAACATGTTTTCACATCTGAACTGAGGGATGGGAAACCACAGATGCACTATGAAAACCAAATGATTTCCAGAGCCTTTCATAGCATTTCGTTCAAATCAGGTAATTTTTGGTTAAAACATCACGGTACTCCTCTATTGCTCTGCAAAGGGGATCCTGGTCCACTTGAAGATTTTTTGAAGATCCAGCAGATCCCCTTTCAAGTTCAGCAGTAGCTGGAGAGAAAAGACACAAGATTCATGGCATTACTTTTATAGCAGACAGGGCAAAATAAGGCAAGGCAAGAACATGACAGGCAACAGAAGAGACTGCAATCCAGACAGAGACTTTAAAATTTCCAAGGGAACATAACAACGGAAGGGCTAGGTGCAAAGGAAGAAACCCATTTTTTCCACAATTGCTTATCCATCAACAGCATTTCTAAAGCAAGTGGAAGACATTCTGGAGGCTACACACTGAATACCTTCAGGCAATCCACAAATGACTCACAAACGTGCTAAACAGCCCCCCCCCCCCCCGAAGTCTCTGCTTTCCTTTTATGTTCAAACCAGTGATTTATTGGCACACTACTACTACACAGCACCAGACACTGCAAAGCAGTAACTCTGGAGGAAGAATTCCCATGGAACAGGTGCATTTCCTCTTTGGACACCTGGCCTCAAATTCTACAGCATGTTTTATGCTACGTACGGCAAGCACTGAACTGATATTTGCTGAAAAAATACTGAATACTCTTTTCCTAAAGACAGATTATCTTTTTTGTCACTGATCTTCTTGCTTATTCCAAAAAAGACTGCACCACCTAAGCTACCAAGACAAGCCATGAATCACAGAATCATAGCAAAAATCAGGAACCAACAGCAAAGAATGGGTATGGTGCGGTTTAGTGCTGAATGCCATCGGTGTACATGGGAGGGGAAGTGATGGCTGAAGCTTATAAAAATCTTATCTCGTGGCTGCTTTGCTGTTTGTGCTTGAGATGAACTCTAGTGAAGGGCAACTTCAGCTTAAGCCAAGGGTTTCTTTGCGCTTGGCTTTTTCCAGGCAACTGCATAACATTGTACGCAACATTTTGGTAAGCAGGAAGTTTTCACATTCAAGTCTCAACTGGAAGGCTAGCAGAAAAAAAACCAAAAACCTACTTATCACAGGAACTTGAAAAAAATGGCTTGAGAGCTGTCAAGCTAGAAATAGTCACCTTTTTCCTTAAAAACCCTCCTAACATAATGACAGATTACCTTGTTGAAGGTCTCTAGTGATTTTTTCATCCAGTTCCTGTCGTACCTAGAATTAAACAGAACATACAGAGTTAAGATTTACAGTTAATACAGAGTTTTGGTACTATTACCTAAATATGACTGTTAAAACTCCTAAAACATTCTTAACCTCCACAGATAATGTCACAATAATATAATTCCACAATAATATAATTCCAAATAGAGACATCTTGGTTGGGGGGTTGATTTTTAGTGAAGAGAAACTCTGAGTCAGCCAGGCTGCAGCATTCTCATTGCTGAGCCATGAATGGTAATAGTAGTGCAAAACAAGCTGTAACTTACTAGCTGGGTTATAACTGGGCAACTGAAAAATATCAAGAAAGCACAGTGGAGTTATTGCAATGAGGATATAGCTAAAGTTGATCATCCAATACATGTGCAGACCGTCAGCTAAATGTTGAGATATGCACAAGTGCCATCCACAGGGAGCATTTCAGTTGACGCTGGCTTCTGCAGCTTCCAAAGGGAAGAGGTGCAACAGCAGCTGCTGCAGGGTCGACATATATCATTGTATAGGAAAAAGCATGTGCCAGTATTCTTCTTTTCTTCATCTTAAGATGAAAAATGGAAAGAGCTCCTGCAGGTCAGGCCAAGACTTTTCTTTATTGTTACTGCAAATACCATGACACCCATACATAAAAATATAGAGACACCAGTTTTTCTTGCAAAATCTGTACTAAGAAAAAAACCCAACAGCTAGAGCTTCCTCATAGCAAGCGGGTTTTATTACACAACAAAAGTCAGCCCAGATCACTAGACAGGAGAACTTAATCCTGTCTCCCCTAGAAGGTGGTTATTCTAGGGGATAACTAAGTTATTCTCACTAATCATTCTGATTTCAAAGTCTTCCTAAGAAGAAATCAGATCTTTGAAGAGTCATAGACCAGGTGCTCTATGCTACCGTTCACATTTGATGATACTTGTGACTCCTACATTGTTTCTGTCAAGTCTGTTACACACAGAAGTGAATTCCAAAATAGATACCAAGCAGCTTCCAGGCCTACGATGGCCATGAAGATGCTGAAGGCTGTCGACCACATGAGCTATGTTGAGAGGCTGAGAGAGCTGTGACTGTTTCTTTACTGGAGTGGAGAAAGTTCGGGGGGACGTTCTCTGGGCATACTAATGACCTGGTGGGGGGAGTAAAGAAATTGGAGCAAAAATCTCCTCGGTGATGCCAAGTAACAGAAGAAGAGGGATGGGAAAAATCAAAATAGAGGAACTTTCATTTTAACACAAGGATTTTTTTGTTGTTGTTCATTTGGTTCTCCTACAGGAGAACCACCACCCAGTGGTACTTCATTGGAATAGCCTTTGCCTTTGCAGATAGAAGAGGGGAGCACAGAGTTGAAAGAACAATGGAAAAGGTCCTCCCCCCCAAATCCCCAAACCTCTAATTTTTCTCAAGCAGGTTCAAGCAACAGCAAAATCCTGGGTAAAAGGCACTCACCCCCCCCCAGCACATGAAATGAGACACAGGTAACAGAAAAAAGCAGGAAAACTAATGCCTAGACCAAAAGACGACCTAAACCCAGGACTAATCCAAAGTAAAGCAGTAGTACTGGAGGAGTTAGAAGAAACCACTTTCCCTGGTTTATGAAGCCCTCAGAATGACCAGAAGCTCCACAGGACCCTCTGCAACATGTGTGGATGAATCAAGAGAAGAAAAAGCTCTTCTTTGACTCTTATATATTCGATTAACCTTTCTGTACTTCTCATCCCCACCTGAGGAAAGAGAAATGGGTGGAAGTAAAGTCAACACATGGATTTCTGAAAAGGGAATGAAGAGGCCTTTGAATGAAAATACACCTTTGAGGATTATAATGTGTCTCCACTGTTCTCCCGCTCCTCTGGAGAAGGCATCACAGCTGATGAGCCCAAACCTCCTGAGCAGGCACTTCTCACTGCACAGCTCTTCAGGCAGTACCATACTGGGTTCCCTTGCAGCAGTCACCATCTCAATAATTCTGCTTCAGGAAGCGGTGCCGACTTGCTACTTACCCACAGGAGCTTCTTGAGCACAGAGTAAGTTGGATCCTGTAAGACTCCAGGAGATGATACTCAGAGTCTAGGAACTCAACTTCAGAGCAGTACTGGTACTCCAGATATAACTGCTGGTACTATCCAGAACTTTCTAAATAGCAGAACAGGCAAGGAGGGTAAAGAGCCTACTCTTCTAGTTTAAAGAAATTCCATTATAATAGATGAAATCCAAGCATCCAGTGTCATCTTATGGAGGGTGAAGTACCACAGAGGCCATAACATTACAAACGCAGAAACCACAAAAGTACTCGGCAGCAGTCACTCTCTCAAACTAACAAGTGCAAACCGTTTCCAGCTTTAGGCAAAGGTGAATGCATCAGTAAGTTTTAATCAGAACCTAACAGCATAAATAGACAAAATATTTCCAGTACTACCCAAGGTTAAACAGTACTGGCTACAAACCTTGTCACGTATCTGGCTGCAAAGAGAAGAAAGAGAAGATTTTGATTAAGGAGCTGAAAAAGAAAGAAAACCAGCCTGAAGTTCAAAGGTCTTCAGTGGGAAATAAGAAACATGGCCTACACGTACACAAGGCAAGCAAAAAAAGCTAGCAATACAAGGACCACTAAAATACAAGAGGGCAGGTGGAAAATGGAACTAGAAAAAGAAAAGAAATTGAGAGAGAGAACAGGAAGCAGACATTCCCTTTCTCATCTTATGTAGGGAAACTGGTTTCATCAATCCACCAATTCACACTGGCTGCAGCCAGCAGAGTTCACTATTCTTCTCTGTGTCATGACAACCACATTCATTTTCCCCAGCCTTTGGCACAGAAGTTAGGATTTAAGCTTGATGGTTCTTAAATGTAACAACAGGCCTCCAGTCCAAAAATCTTCTTGGAACACGCATTCCTTGCCTTGGGCTATGGACTAAGGCCACAGTACGGACTTACATTGTGGTACATGGACCACTAACAGTTCCTTCTGTTTTTGACCCAGAAAGGGAAGGTCAGGTTGGGATCGAAGCAAGCCCCCAAACTAAGAAACAAAACCCCTCCAGACATCAGTCATTGAAGGGTGGGGAAATGTCATATGTAGTTGTTCATCAACTTCCTTGAGAGTATGCTCAAGGCTGTGAGACAGACGTGGCCTGAAAAAAAACTGTATGGGTGCTGTTGCAGTCAGGACACTGAGTGAGAACAGAGTGAGAACAGATCACCATTCTCAGATCTAGTGCATTCTTTTCTTGGAATCAACTCAACTGTTTTCCACAAGTAGATCTGGGAAGCAGTTGTTGCAAAGCGTTGAAGCAGCCTATATAGCGCTTTGAACTACACATCTGCATAAATTAGCAACTGGATAAAACAATGAGCCATGAAATAACCTGTAGAAATATTTAATTTCTGTAACATCCTTCAGGGAAGCCAGGAAAGCAGTGAAGGTTTCTGTCTTAATACTGACAAAACTTTGAGATGCCCAGAGTTTTCTTCTGGAAAATCACAATGGAAAGGGCGAGCTGAAGACTGTTGCTGTAATTCAGTTTTAGGAAGCACTGGGTACTCCCACTGTCCTTCCCCTCACTATCTGTTTTCCCTGTTCTTTTTCAAAAAAGACACAGCTGTCAACTCTTTTCAAGTAGGGCAGCTTTTTTCCTCGAACAGGAATGGTTTCCTCCTTTGCCTTTTCCTTCTTTTAACATCTTGCTGCCATCTCTCTGTCCTTTCTTTCCCTCACTTGTTCCGTGCTCCCTGCCCCTCCTGGTCTTCTCCTTTTCTCCCTTTTGCATTGGGTCCCTGAAGTGTGCTTCCTTTCTAGTGCTTGCCTGCAGAATAAACCCTGCAGATGGTACAGCACTAATTACCTCACGAGTTCTTTCCGTAATGCCTGTCCACGCCTCTGCCCTCAAAAACGCGTTCACAGCGGTACAGAAAAGTTCCTGTCTGTAACTGCCGCTGCTACGCATTACCTACGCTGCTTGGCCCCTTTTCATCTCCTTGGTGTTTTTGTCTTCAACCAGGTGCTGTATGTAGACACCTTGTTGAAATGGGTTCTTTCCAATGGAGGTGAGGGGACCAGTGAACTGAGATGGACTTCAAAGTGAACAAATGCTTCTCACATTCATCCAACAACTAAACACACTAACTCAACAGAGAAGCTTGGCCATGCCTCAGTCCCATGCTACGTGGCTGTCCCACTGATTACAACTACTGGTGTGTGGTTTCCACGTCTCCTGGTATAATGCTCTGCATTCTGGAAGGGATGCGCTATCCCACTGACTGCTGATCACAGGGCATACTTGGACCAGTGCTATTGCAGAGGTTGCAGCATTGCTGCACAATTAGAAGGCTGTGAAGACTTCCCAAGGAGTAGGTAGTTCTGCTGTTTCATGTAGTAAGACGTAGCAGGAACTACAGGAACAAATGCCTCCTATCCATAGTAACATATTAAAGCAAGGTCCAGTGAAGAAACTACTAGAACAAAGATCAATGATGAAGAAAATGGGGTCTCACAGATGTCTGCTGGCATTTGGCACTCATGGTGGGTGACATTAGCCACTTGAAATAGGTCACACATACCATACATGTAAATTTAGTGTGGAACTTAGATGGGGGGTTCGTGCCCCACAGTGCTCTTTACCACAGTTTGTCTTGTAAAAGAATGTAGTTACACAGTTCATTGCTTTGATTTCAATATTTTTTGGCCTTTGACTACCCTGGAAAATTTGTACAAACCTGATGACCAAAAGTCTTCGGCCTTACCACATATAGCTGTGTACAGTTCTGAGGATTAGCAGTTGCTCTGGCATATTAGAGAGTATGTCATGGAACAATAAATGGATTCGAACTTTAGGCTAAAAAGGATAACCTTGCATACAGATTCTCCTCAGCAGTAGTCAAGAACAGCACTTCAAAATGCTCACCTTGGCCACATAGGCTTCAACTCTGTTTCTTGGTGATAATGTGTTTTCTGTTGGGCTTAGGAAGTTTCCTCCAAGACTGAGACTTCTGTTCAGTCCCAAACTGTTCCCAAGATGTCCCAGGCCAGTTGAATACAGAAGTGGACTTGCAGCCAGATGTCCGCTGACAATGCTGCTTGTGATTAAAGATTTGCTTCTATGGCGCTCCCGAAGGAGCTTGGTGTTGGCCTCTGCAAGTCTCTCATTAGCTCTAAAACATTCAGAAGCACACAGAGAGTCATCTTTGGCAGTAAGGCTTTTGCAAAGTTACCCTCCACATCCTTGACTACTACTCGACTTCTAAAAGCCAGGGGCATTAAGAGTGTCCAAAACAAGCACATCCTTTGATCTGAGCTCGTTCAGAGGGCCTGTTTCTAAGAAATCACACTAAGTGCAAGGAGCAGCAAGTGTCACCTCCATAAGAACGCTGGCCTACCCTGGCCTTCTCAAGGAAAGCTCAAACCTCAGACCCTCTGCCAAAACAGAAGCCAAGAAAGAGCGTTCTTATTTTTGATGCACAGAATCCAACTCTGTTCTCCGAGAGGCTTCTCTCCTTATTCAAACAGTAAAGGGCACAAGATCCATCTTTTCTGTCCCACACAGGATGAGGAGATTAGAGATTGGCAAAAAGACTGCCTGCTAGAACAACATCAACTCGAAAAAGACACCAATAATGCCATAATGGCGCTACTGTGGTGTTCCTGCTGGAACTCTTAAAGAGAAAGGAAGACAGGTCTGATGAAGGGAAGGGGTCTTAAGGGACTTTCCCCACAAATATGCCCTGTTCTGCTTTCACACATCAATGCTGGCGAGATGTAAAAAAGGGATTTTAGAAGGAAAATGCACGAGGAAAAAGGAGTGTGTTATTACCAGTCCAGAAAAGCATGGACTTACCTTTCCAGTTTCTTGGCTAGGCCTTTTCTGGTTTTCACTTCCTCCAGATACAGCTCTCTGTATTTTTCCACTTCTGCCTGGGTGGATTCTTTTTGAAAAGTACTGTCTTGTTGGGTATTTTTTATCCTGTCCAGTTCACATTCAAGATCTCTAATTCTGTCTTTTAGCTGGTTTCTTAGTGAAGCATGATGACTGGCTCTGATTTGTTCTAATCTGTCCTGGGAGGCTGCCTGTGCCTGAAGGAGACAGTGCACCTTCAATCACCACAAGCAAAAGAGAACTCTCTCCAGCAGAAAATTGCATGTACCCAATTTCAAGGCTTTACTCAGAGAGGCAGCTGTGCCTCCTCACTACCAGCAGCAATGAAAGTAGAGCCCTGGAACTACTA